GAGAGAGAAATACAGTTTTCAAAATGTATGCATCCAGTTGCATTAAGGTTATCTGGGTTTTTTGTTTGGTTGTGTGTGTGTGTGTGTGTTCTTGTTTTTGTTTTGTCTTTTAAGGAATAATCTACAGTATAGCTTTCTTCTGAGCTCTATCTCTCAAATCAAACTATGAAAACATATACCCCACCCTGAAAACAGATTAAACGTCATGGAAAACTCCTGAGTCGTGAGTTGCTCATCCTAAAAATTGTTCTTTAGGATCAGCCAACCTGGTTTCAATTCCCATAAATCCCCAAGCCAGCATGACCAATTGTTGGAGCTGCTCTCCAAAATATCTGCAGGGCATAAAGATGCCTGGTTCTGTTTAATTAGCTGTCTTTCCATTGCCAAGAATTTCTTAATCAAGGATGGTCACCTAGGAACTGTAACAATATTTTTCAAGGGAAATACTCACAGGATACACTGATGGTCATGAGCTGTGATTCCTTATCAGAGACATGGTTGAATGCTTTGCAAAGATATTCTCCTGACTGCTCGACCTTAATTTTCTGGAGTGCTAGGATTTTTGAAGTCTCCTTAAAGATCTCTTGCCCTTTCCAGTACCACTTGTATATAACAGCTGATGGGTAAGCATCGTTATCACATCTCAAATAGACATCCGTTCCCTCAGTAACAGCTTTCTGGGTATCTAGGGTTAGACGAACATTACGGGGCCCATCTGTCAGAAAAAGAAAGAGTCACTCAATCTAGCCCAGCATTTGTATATGTGATTCTCAGCATCACTGCAAGACAAAGGAATTCATAAGGACACAAAAAGAATCCTGGAGAAATAGGCTTCCACGTCCATTATTTTTCAACCTTGGCACCTTCCTGAAATTGTATTTCAACTCCTAGAATTATCAGCAGTAGCCATGCTGGCTGGGGAATTCTGGGAGTTGGAGTGCACAAATTTCAATGTTGCCAAGGTTGCAAAACACTGCTTTGTCAAGCTGATTGTTCTTTCTCATAGAGCAAACAACTAGAAGCATCTGAGAACCTTAAAGGCAGGAGAGGAAGGTAATCACCATCTTCCTCTATTGCTCAGATCTGCTACCTATGACTCAGAAGGGAGTACATAGACACAAACATAGTAGACTCTGATAGCCTAGTCTTCCATTGAATATGACTTGTCCATTTCTAAGATCCTCTTAGCCATGGGGTCAAAATCTCATCCAACAGCAGTAAATTCCACTATATTCCACCCAAATCCTACCCAATATGATGGAATACCCCACATTCTGAGAAGCACAGCTTTCATTTTTCAAAGAAAAGAAGAGTTTTATGACCACCAGGGTAGGTTTTCCATTTTGTTGCTGTTGGAAAGTCCCTGCAGTCCCTGCAGTTTTCTTGACAAGGTTTTTCAGAAGTGGTTTGCCATTGTCTTCTTCCAAGGGCAGAGAGAGAGGAACTGGCCCAAGGTCACCCAGCTGGCTTTGTGCCTAAGGTAGGACTAGAACTCACAATCTCCTGGATTCTAGCCTGGTGCCTTCACCATGACATCAAACTGGCCAAACTATTATAGCCTTTTAGAATCATGAACAGACCACTGCTTTGAGAGTTGTCTTGTGTTTGCAGCTAAGGACATAACCACCAAGCTAGGTGGCAACATCTAAATAACCTTGGTTGAACTCAAAAGGTATTTACATGGGGGACTACCAGAAAATTCCAGGGCTTTAAGCTCAACTGGAAAAGTTAAAAAACACCTCAGAAGAAGACAACGGCAAACTGCTTTCCTAATGCAGCTTAGGAAATAGTATGGACGTATTCAGGCAGTAATCAAGAAGCTTGAGTCAACAATGACTTCACCTAGAAGAGAAAGCCTATTGGGCACAGCAAGAGAATCATAACTTCACACTGAGCTTGTGCTTGTACTCACAATGCACATCCAGCCTAACAGTTAGAGACTCCACAATGCTTATGGCATTTTTTGATGTACAACAGTAGATGCCAGAATTCGTTGAATGGACATTCTGGATGAATATCATGTTTTTGGTAGAGTTCACTGGCAGCAGTTGCCCATCTTTGTACCAGGTGTAGCTGAGTTCCTGGGGGTTGGCTATTCTCACTGTACAAGTCAGGCGAACAGAGCTACCTTCGATGACCCACCCCGATGGTTCTTGATTGAGCTTGACATCTTTGGGGCCATCTGCAAGGGGAAAAAAGAAGAATTACAAGCATCAGATAGTGGTATCCCATTGCTCTTGACCTTGAACATCTGCCCTTTCAGAGAAAGAACCTTACACCAGATGCCTCTGTGATACAACAACCAGCATTCAAGGCTACACTGAACAACTCCACTAATAGCAACCCCCCTTCCTCTTTCTACCCAAAGTTACATACTCGTTAATTAAATCATTCTTAACTTTTGGGGTACCCCCAAACCACTCTAAGGCATTTCTTTACTCAATTTGTCTGCTTGTGTAAACCATAGGGGGCAATGGCCCATAATGATTTGATCATGCAAAGAGCTTTGCCAGATTGGGCTAGTGGTTGAAATGTTGGACTAGGACTGGGGAGATAGATACAAGTTCAAGTACATCTTCAGCCACAGAAGCTGATCGGGTGACTTTGGGCCAATCACTCTCTCTCA